ATACACAAATACTTGAAGATATTGTACAATACACCCACATAATCAAGAATATGCACAAATACTTGAAGATATTGTACAATACACCCACATAATCAAGAATATACACAAATACTTGAAGATATTGTACAATACACCCACATAATCAAGAATATACACAAATACTTGAAGATATTGTACAATACACCCAAATAATCAAGAATATGCACAAATACTTGAAGATATTGTACAATACACCTAGATAATCAAGAATATACACAAATACTTGAAGATATTGTACAATACACCCATTTAGTTAATCTATCGTGTATTGCGATTATAATACATCTCTTAATCTATCTTTAGGATTTTAGTTTTTAATCCGACTCTCTACAAGAAACCTAACAAGGCCAATTAACATCAAACTCGATCTTATTGCGTGAAGCTGCGATCCTGATTGCGTTCAGCTGCCAATTAGTTTGTCAACAGTTACTCCTAAAATAGCAACGTAACGCCTCTTGTTACCGTGGCTAAATAAGGACTAGTATTTGGCACAGACAGTCTTTACAAAAAAAAAAAAAAACACTTTTCTTAAATTTCACTACGGTTGCAGAATTTGGTTGAAATCCCAGTTCTGCTTTCAGTTTTTAACAGCTCGAAGTCGAATGTTCGGTTTTAGCCGTTTTTAAAGTTTATTCTCGTATCAGCATTTCTAGTTGCTGGTATTTGAAACGATTTCTACTTGACGTTTTCAGTTAGTTTTGGCTCTCATTCTTGGTATTACTGCTATTCATTTCATTCTGTACATACTTGATACCACTGTATTCGCTTATATTTCCAGAAAATAATAACACGAGAAATACTGATTTAATATTTTCATATACATTCACACATACAATTTTTTTATAGTAAATCACATAGAATCTCCATAAACCTCAGTGAGAAAATATTTCAATTTTGCTTCAGTTCTTTCACAACAGTGGAACTGACGTTTCTGAATGCAACGATAAAAAAGTAACGTTGAAAACAGATTGTTGACTTTCAAAAGATAACATGTAAATGAAATAAGAAATTGATAAAAGTATACATTTTATTGATGGAAGAATACATAACCACACAACATAAGTTATCTTCCGTGTCTTCAAGTGAACAGAACACTTAATATAAGAATTAATTTTATAGAATTATAGCTAAAAGGCGCTATATATATAATTACCGAATGCACCTACATAACTATAATAACGTTACAAGTACTTGAATAATGGGTAATTATTTCAAACTGGGAAGACAAGCATGTAGAATATAAATAACTGAAGGAATATCTTCTTTAAGAACGTAGATTACGAGATATTCTAACAATTGTGTTAAAAATAAATTTTTCATTGATACTTTTCACAAAACATCTGGGGGAGGACGAGCAGTTAAAGAATTGATTCGTCTTTAAAAATCGACTCACGTCTCTGGATAACACCAATATCGAAAACTACCGCCTTAGTAGCAACCAGAAGTTAGGTCAAAGCTCAAACCTTGTTTGAGTGTTTTATTTCACACATTAGTAGTATTTTTAACGTCTTCCTTCTCATAAAAAACAGCAATAAACTAATAATGTGATATTATTTGGTGGAAGCGTTGTTGCCAAACATCGGAATCTTTGAAGAATAGAAATAAATATTTATAAAAGCCTTGATAATAGTATTATACTTTATCCAAACCCGGATTTACCGACCAGAAGTAGTATACTCTAACACCGACCCAAACCCAGAGTTACTGATCAGAAGTAGTATACTCCAACACTGACCTACTGACAATGAAAAGTATACTCCAAAACTGATCCTAGCCTGGTGTCACTGACCAGGAAAAGTATACTACAAAATCAACCCAAACCCCGAAAATTATATTCCAAAACCGATCCTAATCTGGAGTTACTGACCAAAAAAATTATACTACAAAATCAACCCAAACCCCGAAAATTATATTCCAAAACCGATCCTAATCTGGAGTTACTGACCAGGAAAAGTATACTACAAAATCAACCCAAACCCAGAAAATTATATTCCAAAACCGATCCTAATCTGGAGTTACTGACCAAAAAAATTATACTCTAAAACCAACCGAAAGCCGGAGCTACTGACGAGAAAAAGTATACTCCTAATCTGGAGTTATTGAACAAGAAAAATATACTCCAAAATTGACCCAAATCCGGAGTTACTGACCAGAAAAAGTATAATCCAAAACTGATCTTGCCGAGAGAAATGGACAAAGAGTAGATCAATCTTTTGAACACCCACTTCACACTAAATTGGACAAGAAGGTATCGCTAAGTGTGCCAAACAGTTATGGTATTAAAGCATTAGATAAATTACTGGTATCAGGATTACTTCTTGTTTTTTGAACCTAAACTGTTAATTAATGTGTTTAGTGATAACCAGAAAAGAAAGACACTAAAGTCACAAGTGACATAACTTAGATTACGTTTCAATCCTGTGAAGTCATACATTAAACCCAAGACGTTATTTGGATAAGAGAAAGTAGATGATGTTGAAGTTACAAACTTATAAAAATTATAAAACATCATAAGTTTTAGCTACATTAGTAAAATTGTAAGTTATTGACACATGTTTTGCTTTAAGAAGGTTTCAAAGCCAGTGGAAATAGAGCAGAGTGTGTGGCTTACCTGTTGACGGGAAAGATCTGCTACTTCTGAAAACTCTGGTCTACTAAACAAACTCTACATACGATTTCGCAAACCAGTTATTCACGCTATGTTCTACTGATATCAAGTATCCCTTCCAGGATTGGCTGATTTTTCACACCACATGACCTACTTACCAGTCTTCTTTTAGCAAATGTGGAGTTTCTTTCCTGCCGAGTTTCCAGGCGAGAAGAACGTAAACAAACAGAATTGGCCTATCAGAGAAGCCATTGAACAGCTAGCTATTCATGAAAGTTCTGGCACTAACCGGAACCACCACCAGTACAGGAGGTTCCCAAGTTATTTTACATAAACTGAACGGACATGAAGCGTAACTAGAGGTCGAAATATATTTTGTAAATGATTAAAATCAATTATAAAAGTGTAAAACATTTCGAAATGAACTACTTTTGTAAGGTCCCCCCCCCCTGAATCTCAAAAGCATCAGAGTCTATTGCAAGTATGTGAGCAAGGAAAAGTACGTAAAATATAACGATGAAGAAAAGGAAGAAAAGAAAATACACAATTTAAAAGTTTTAACACACGAACATGTATTTTCTCTCCCTCTCTGTATAATTCTGTCATCATTTGAGAATCTCTTTCTGTAGTATTCAGGGAGAGTATGACGATTAATTAAATTTTATTTAATAATGTTACAATAACGGCTTAGAATTTATACTGAACGGCTTATGCTTTGATTCTTCAGTGGAATAACGTTTCAGTCTTTATACGTAGGCCTTCTTTATATGAACAAAACGTCGTCCTACTAAATCTGTAATGCATCAAAGTGTAATTCAAATAAAACTCGATTTACTTCACTGACGTTTCGAGCAACTATTCGTCGTCGAAATGTCCTGGAATTAATAAATTGAGATCTACGTTGCCTGAACTTTAAACGAAATAAAAATATTTCTCTAAACTTTATAATAGCTTTTAACTTCTATTACAATAATTCATTAACTAACAGTGTATTATGTACGAACTGTTGGTTCATCCTAAGGAATACGTTTGTGATCAAATAAACTCATTTTTCGAAGATGTCGGTAACTTTTAGGTCTCTTTTATTACCATCCTTATATCTGAAAACGGTATTTCCGGTTCATTAACTACCGTATTAATTTACATGATGTCATCTGATAACGGTATAGACTTACTAATTGTAGTTTTTATCTGTGTTTTATAAATAATGGGCAGCAAAATAAAAAAGTTAATTTTTGCACAAACTGTTGCTGTAGAAAATACAACAAAGAACAAACTTTATAGAGACAAATTTAATAGTTTCTAGCTTTGTACGACCCTGACATATGTACACAGGTGGTTGTGAATGCATATGTCTTTGAAAATATTTTTACTTTATATTGATCTGAGCTATTTATTTCTGATCTAGCGCCTTATATCTTATCTGTATATATATATATATATATAGGCTTGTTTTAGTAAAATCTTATAACAGCTTGGCTGTTCCACCACCAAAAGCAGTAGGAATGTCACAAACACCACATAAAACGTAGTTTCAATAAGATGCCCTCTCTTTTAGGTTATCCATGTTCATTTCAATTTCCTGATTTCTCTACACTTTTCTTTATTTTTTTGAAATTGCTGTTTGTTTGGAGTATTCGTACAAAGCTACACGAGAGCTATCTACACTTGCCGTCCTTAAATTGAAAATTATAGACTAGAGGGAAGGCAGATAGTCAACAGTACCCACCGCCAACTCTTGGGTTACTCTAATCGAATAAAAGGGTTTGACATTTTCTCTTATAACGCATCCAAGGCCCCAAAGTGCTGAGAGCGATTATGCGATAATGGGACGCAAACCATGAACCCTCAACTTCACAGACCAGCACACAAATACTTGGTCATGCCTAGCCAATAAATGTTTTGTGAGAAAATGAAAATGTCTTTGGTTTTATTAGTCTCTGCACAACCGTCCCTAATTTTGAACTGCTAGACTATGAGGAAGGCAGCTATCTGGTCAACAGTACCAACCGCCAACTTTTGGGCTACCCTTCTCAGACCGACTGGTGGGATTCGACCCCTACGACGCATTCATGACCCGAAAGAGCGAAGCATGCATTTTTGTTGTCGTTTTTGTTTCAGAAACGGGACGTAAACCATGAACCCTCAGTTTCACATTCAAGGCACAATAACAACTTGGCCATGCAAAGCCCAGGATTAACAATTAGTACCAATATCTATTATCTCAAACTAATAGATTCAATGTGTTAACAATATAATACTGAATGTGACACAATGCCTCGCATTGGCGTGGCCTTGTGGTTAGGGCATTGGACTAGCTTTGTTAAAGATACAAACCAAGTTGTTGGACCAGCTAAAAACCGGATTTTGATACTCATAATGGGTGCAACACAAATAGTCTATTGTGTAGCTTTATGCTCAAAAACAAACAAACAAAAATTTCAGACCAAGTATGTAATACAAATGTTTTTGTGGAGCATACTCTTTAGTATAACATACTTTAAAACAAGTTGGATGTCGAAAGCTAGTGATCACTGCATAGTTTTATTATCAGTTTTAAGTTTAGTTTCAAACTAAACTTTTGTTCTTCAGAGTTTGTTTGTTTTTCTCTCTCAACATTCATTTCACCTTGATAAGCGTTACTTCTTATTGGTGAATTGTTATTACATATCACCATAAAATGTCCTTAATTTATAAGTTCAACTGAGCTGTATTCGCTCGGAAATTAAAGCGCTATATATGCTCTTGATTTATAGAATACATCAAGATTTGGTTGGGGTACATACAACTGACAAGATTTGGTTGAGGTAAAGATATTAAACTATAGAACAGACAAGGTTTAGTTGAGAGTAAATATATTAAACAAAAAACTGACAAGGTTTAGTTGGGGATAAAGATATTAAAACTATAAAATGACAAGGTTTAGTTGGGGGTAAAGATATTAAACTATAAAACTGACAAGGTTTAATTGGGGGTAAAGATATTAAACTATAAAACTGACAAGGTTTAATTGGGGGTAAAGATATTAAACTATAAAACTGACAAGATTTAATTGGGGGTAAAGATATTAAACTATAAAACTGACAAGGTTTAGTTGGGGGTAAATACATTAAACTATAAAACTGACAAGGTTTGGTTGGGGTAAAGACACTAAACTATAAAACTGACAAGGTTTGATTAATTTAAAGATATTGAAAAGGAACGAAAAGGTTTGTTTCGTACTAAAATATATTCAACTAGGACTGACAATGTTTGTTTGATAGTAAATATAGTCAATTAGGATCAACAACGTTTGTTTGAAAATAACTTCATAATAACCAGTTTTTTTACAAGAAATTTAATGGTGCTATTTATTTTGTATTTGGTGTAGTATTTAATGACGAAATGGACAATTAATTATTATTGCCCCATTTTTTGTAATAAACATACAACAATATATGCAC